CCGCAAAGATTTGAGGAAATTGGTCCGTGCGCAAAGCATTGTGGGGATTTTAAGGACGCGAAGTCTACCCATGTGCAGCCTCGAAATTACCCCCAAACCAAGGACACGGCGTCGGTGGAATTCCAAGTATGCTGGAGATTGGAACAGTCCTTCGGCGGCACTCGATGACGTAGCATCTTTGAAATATTGGCTTGGAAGCCAGTTTCCTCGAGATTGAGAAACGGCCTTGGTTTCAAATCGATTAAGCATTGCAAAGAGAAGACAAAACGGAGAGAGAGAGAGAGAGTCCATTTTCATAACCACTGTCTTTTAACTGATTTAAATGTTGAAACTGGGGTTATTCATCAGAATTTCGTATGACTTGACTTGACTTGCTTGACCTGAGCAATGACTTTACTTGCTTGACTCTCACCACAGTGACTTGGGACTTGCNCCGAGTCACTTGCTGCAGAAGCTAAGCAAGAATCCTTCCTGGCATTTGGAAAACGAAGAGTGGAACAGGCTAGCAAGTGTGCAGGTGTGCTTCATATGACTCATATGAAGCACACCTGCACACTTGCTAGCCTGTTCCACTCTTCGTTTTCCAAATGCCAGGAAGGATTCTTGCTTAGCTTCTGCAGCAAGTGACTCGGAAGACATGTGCTACCAAGCAAGCATCCTCGCGATTGAGAAACGCCCCAAGTCTAACGTAGCTTAAACTTAACGTTAGCTTTCTAGCTAACACAACACATGCACGCACCTTTCTCTGTGGTTTTTTTTGTAGTGACGAATGAAGTTGGATGTTGTGGTGGTCGTGTCACTGATCTTTATGCTGCAGATCCTGCATACCGCTGTTCTCTTCTTATTACCGTCATCGACAAAATAATCCTTGAATCGAAACTTCACTATTTTTGGAGTAAAGCTAGCTGCAGCCATGTTAACTGTGGCCATTTCACTACAAAAACAAACGCAAATATTTAATTTTAAACAGTCAAGTCCTTTCAAGTCATCTATCTCAAGCTTAAGTCAATTCTCAAGTCATGAATACCAAGTCAAAGTCAAGTCAAGTCTTTTATCAATCTTAGTCAAGCAAGTCTCAAGACAAAAAATATGCGACTGAGTCTGACTCATAGACTGTATATATAAAGGTCTGACTCGAGTCAAGTCATGTGACTCGAGTCCCCACCTCTGCAATTTATGTAAACAAATATTTCCAAGGCACACCTTTATAATTATTAGGATAAATAAAAACAGGTTTGAAATCATTCCAATGCATACCTTAGGACAGTAAACCAAACATATCGTTTAAAACTGGAGATATTAAAAAAATTCATGAATAAATCAATGTCAACTGGCAAAATAAGATATGAATGAACAACAAAAATAAAAATGCTTACATTTATTTGTTATTGGCTGTGGAAGGTTATTGGTTATGTTCACATACTTATTTGATTATTAAAATGAAAACCGATCTTTTTCATGGGTGTTTAGAGTTGTACCCCCTAGATCAGGTCTCTAGTAATTGTGTGCTCCAAGTGCACCAGATTGAAGCATTTTACTTTAAAATGTTAAAACAAATATTTCTGGGTGGGCATACCCCCGGACCCCCCTATAGGGTGTGACGTCCACCCCCCAATTAAAACATTGAAACCTTCTTTATGTATATAACCAACATGTCAATAAGTTTCAGTTTTTGTAGTGTATTGGTCTTTTGTAGAGATTTTTCATTTATTCTTTATATATTCTATTGTGTATTGCTTGGAGAGGGGGGGGGGGCACCAAATCATAATCTTGCCTAGGGCACCAAAATGTCTAGGACCGGCCCTGTTAATATCTCCATCGCGATCACATATTCAATAATTAGTTGGCTAACATGGCTGCTGTGGATATCACAGAAATATCCTTACAGCCACACTGGCATCGTAGTTTTAAATCCTACACTTGGTTCAAGACTGAAATATGTCAACAACTAAAAAAGCAAACTTGTTTTGTAATGTTACAATATTTCACGCTTACCAAATCATGACACGGAATAACTTTGGCCCACACACCCAACTTTTCTTCTAAGCTAGCACATCCCTTCTACAAGAGCTCTGTCAACCTCAGCTAATGCTAACTATGTGCTTACAAAACATAACCCAACATTGTCTTGTTTTTCTTTTTGTATTAACTTATAAGAATTTGACAAGATGTGCAATTTCAATGTTTTTCAAAATAATGAAAAAAAAAAATAATTATTAATTATGATATTATAAACATTAAAATACATACATACCGCAAAAACATTGATACAATTTAAGATTATCATACAAATAATTTATTTAAGTTTAAAGTAAGATTTCATAATTTAGCAAGCCTTAGATCCTCAGATATGGAGATTTGGAGGTGTGAGTAATATTTTAAGCAAATCAGCTTAAAAAAATGTAAATAATTTCTGTAATATCCTTGAGTTTTTGACAGACAAAACAAGACATTTCAAGATATTTTTCAATATATTCTGATACTTTAAATGTGAAACCGTTTTGACTAGCCGATAAAATGTATTGCCAATTGGCTAACCAAGTCTGACGATGTATAACAGAATTCAGCAAGCTGAGATACATAAGCCACAGAGAATGAACTTCTGATTTAGCAACATAGCTTTTCATCTGGCTCCACACACAGGCCAAACCTGGCTATTAACGCAGGGCCTTCCCATTTTTCATTCACATGGCAGTTTTATTTTTTACTTCTTATCAGCAAGGGATATGTGAAGAAGTAAAAAATATCAGTGTTATGTGCTGGTAAATAATGCATCTGATATAAACATAACGCCACATGGACTCATTGCACAGACAAGAAAATGAAGACTTTGTTGGCTGGGTTGCATATGTAAAGTGTGTGAAGTGTAGTTCCAGTAATCCAAAATTCGGGTCACAGATAGCAAATAAGCTTGACTCGGACAAAATACGTCTCAGGATAGTATGTTTTTTACTTGCACAAAAAAGTATCAAATACAAACACATATTCTCTCAGGTCAACAAACTATGTTGCTCGGTGCTTCTTTCTCCTTCTCACCCACCCCAATCACCAGCAGCTGCCGTCGGCTATAACGTCTCGTAATCACGAACAGCTGCGGTCGTCTATGCCGTTAATTTCACACGGCTGGTTCAAATAAATAATACAATAGCACTAACAACAAAGGACTACAACATTCAAAAATATCAGACTATACATTTTAACATATGGCTCCTACATGAAGTGTTGAACATGATCTCATAGATAGCAGAGTTCACACTTTGTAGGCTTGTGGCTTAATGTGAAGTTTCAGAGTGTGAAAGAGACAAACCTGAAATGACGATGCAGGTGTCTTTGGCCCGTCTCTTCATGGCCTTGTAGGCGGCATCAGACACTGCGTACAGGTGAGGAGGGTTTTCATACAGCTCCCGGCCCCGGTACGCATCGATGGTGTCTTTGCCGTAAATGTCCATCTGTCTGTACGGGTTAACGGACACGACTACTTCTCCAATGTAGGTGTAGATGCGGCCCTTCTCAAACCTGTTCCACAAAAGAAAACACAAAATTGTCAATAGCATACTTCACACTACTCGTACAGGTATTACATTATATTTCTTGCTTACAGTAGTTCATGTCAGGTAATTTCAATCTTTATAACTCAAATACACAAAACAATAATAATGATAAAAGAAAATGAGTGTCAAACTAAAGCAAGGTTAAATAACCAAATCAAAAGATGTATATAAATGTATCCTAAAATCCAAAACCAAAATAAATATACACAATAGTGTTGTCCCTCAGCGTTATTTGCTGTAATCATCATATTTTTATATACATATTTTAAAAGTGTTTTAAAGATTAAAAAAATGCATCAAATATAAATATAAACAATGAAATAGATATACAGATACATAAACAATAGAATTGTGTGTAAATGCATCATCTATGCATATGATACATTTTCAGTCCTCCGTTTAAGGCGGCAAAAAGCCATTTAGACCCGTTACATTTCCAGACAACCCATGAGAAACCCTCAAGTCGAAAGTTCCATGAGAGATGGCACACCTTCAGTTCATACGTAACATCCTGAGAGGAAGTGACCCAAGTGTGTGTTCACTGAGAGCAGGAAATGAAACTTGTGGGCTCAAGGGCGTCACAGCCTTGAGTAACCTGATGGTGAGCTGCAAGAGGTAAAATTGACGTGTCACTAGGTTCAATGTAGAAACCTTTTTTGTAGATGTTTCTAAAACCAGATTAGCGGTACTCTGATGTTAACATTTGTACATTTAGATCAAAACTGGGTAATGTCAGAATGGATCATGTCAGAACAAGGCACAAATATTGCCTTCTTATTCTGAATTTTGGAAGAAACTACCAGTGTGCTAGTCATCTGTTTACTGGATCATCCATGTGGTTTCTGTTTCTCAGAATTAAAAATTAGGAAACATAATTTGACCAAAATCACAAATCCAAATGCTAGCTTCTGGGTTGGCCCTAAAACATGTTTGCAAGTAAAGGAAAACAGTGCAAATGAAAAAACAGGAATCCAAACACCTGATCTCAGATGTATGAAAAGGTAGAGCAGTTCATTCAATTAGGCACACATCAGTACAAACCTAAGCACCTGCCTCTGTTATCTAACAGGTCGGATCAAGCTGTGTGTGATGAAACTCTACATCTAAATCTAGAGCTTATTTGATCTTGTTTGACATGTTGGTGGCTGTCTGCCTGTGCTGATTTCAGATGACATTTGTGAACTTTCACAGTTTTAACTGAGGACATCAAGCCAACGATGCGAAAGACACAGAGGAAGCGAGAATGGACACTGTCTGGAACAGTGTTGAATCCTCAAAGCTTCACACCAAGAAAGAGTCACGAAATGAAATCAAAGTTACATTAGCTTCAACAAGTTTGCTTACACTAGCTGTTTTATTTAGTTGGTAATGTTCCATTACTGCCATGTGCTTCATGTGTTTCTGATGACAGCCACTGTGGTGATGATCACATGCGCTACAAGTTCATATCTGAACCCTGGGTGAGCGGGAAATGTAGAAATGACTCATTGCCTTTTTTACCCTTATATGTCATCTTTATGTCCTCTTGTAAAAACAACATTCATAATGATAACGTCAACCTGTTAATTAACTGCTTCTGTGACATATTTCTTAAGTTTAAGAGATCAGAGACTTAACAAAATACACCTAAATCTATATTTCTTTACACATATTTGATCAGAAATACCAAAGAAACAAGCCATTTTCCTTGTGAGGAATGAATGAAGCGTTACCCTTTGCATCTCTGACAACCAGCTGCTTCCCCTCCCTTCCTCCTGTTTAACACTATATCTTACCTCAGCTTCAGATTCTCCATGAACTGCTCCATGGTGACCTCATCCAGCAGCACAAAGTCTGACTTCCCAAACTCCAGGCCCTCCAGCTCCGCCATCCCTGTCCTCGTTCAACAAACACACTTAGAAAAAAAGACGTACAGGACTGAGAGGAACAGAAAGCCGCTTCGAGGGAGAAGAAAGAGAAGTATGGTTGCCTTCTGGGGCCGGTAGTGTGGAGTTTGTGCATGTGTGTGTGTACTGAGGGCGTGGTGAGCTCGATGGTAGATTTGAGGGTGTGCTTATTTGAGAGCTGTGGTCTACAAGCTACAGCACGTCACCCGTCAATCAACCCTCGCCTCACTTACATCTGTATAAATAGCAGGAGGCTATCTTTAAGAACTCACACCACTTCTGCATCCTCATCATCTATGTCTCTCTTCCTGCCACAAAACATTTTGAAACTCTAAAGTTTTTTTTCGTGTGTCTTCTCTTCCCAGAACCCACATCTGTCACGCTGCCAAACAAGTGCAGTTAACTTGCCACATTTGGGGTTAGAAAAGGGCCTTTATCTGCTGGGAAGGATCGTGGCATTTCCTTTTTTAACTTTGCATTGGCAGTGCAACGTGTCCCAGAGGGACTTCCCTCAAATAAGAGGTTCCCAACTCCATGCACGCTGAAAACTGAAACATTGACTTTAAATAGATGTATTATGTCAACAAATGTAACATGACTGTATTAGGTATTACGTTTTATGTCAACTTAAATCATTTTGCTTAGAACTAACCTAATACAGTTATGTGAAATCTGTTGACATAATACATTTAATTAAAGTCAACATTTCAGTTTTTTCAGTGCATTTGGAAAATCCGTTTTTTGCTGGAGCCAAAAGGTCTTGTCATGACTTGTAAATGTAGATCTACGTGTGTGTGATATAATACAGAGAGTGTACGGAAATGCTGAGTAATACAGAGAGTTGATATCTAAAATTATATTTCACAACCTTTTCCTCTAAATCAAGAACACTTTCAAGAACTCTTCAAGGTATACTGGACCTTTATTTCCATGTAAGGAACACTGTTCATGTGTTGGCCCTGTTGCACTGTCCCGAATCGCAGGGCACACTGGCAATTTCGCTGCCGAGCTGGAAAATTGTCAAGTGCATGAGGGCTCTCTTGCAGTTCAGAGGCCAGCAATTAAAGGAAAAAGGTAAACAAGGACACAGGTGTTCAGCCTTAAATATATATTAGGTTCACTGGTACTCACACACTTTAAAATAAACATAGCATTAACAAGGGTTTAAAGGGACAGCACCTCTCTGCTTACCCCTCAATTTACAAGACATGAGCACAAGAGGCTGAGTGAAAACAGTGGTGACGCCATGTTGTCTTCCAGGACCTTCGCCTAGCTCAGAGGCCATCCTTAGCATAATGTGCAGTAACTCAAGTGTGTTGCTTTGGATAAACTGCTCAACTAAATGTAATGTCAACATACAGTTCAGGTAAAGCAAAACAGGCCCTCTCTAAAGCCAGATAGTTCCCACTCTAAGCTACTGTAGAAACAAGACGTTACACCATAATAAAAACACAACCTACTCTTAGTCTCAGGTGATTATACACTCATAAAAACATAGTTACATTTCATTTCTGCCAATAGTTCCAGTACAAATTGGTCCTTTATGTGGCATTTTCTATCATGTCCTCCTTTTTGGACTAATTATGATCTCAATTGCCTATCTTTCTTGGTTGCTAAGGTGATGAAAACAAATGCTAAAAACGTTTTTTCTTTTACAACCATCAAGCTCATTTCTTTCCTGGGACCATGTGCTCTAGAAACCATGTTTTCTCTGCATCAGTAAGAGGTGTTCAGTATATAAAGGGAATGTTAGAACTAAACTGAAAAGCATTATTCAAATCAGTAAACTGATTTATGGTTTCCCCTGTAAACCGTATACCTATCAGCATTGTGTTAAGGTCAATTTCACTTTGTGTCCCTTCTCGTCAGCTGCTGGCCGTTCTTGAACTTGTGTTCAAGAACGCAGTGTGTTTAGATTTCCAAACACAGGATGACTCAGCTCGTGACTCAAAAGGGTTGTGACATCATTAGCCACACTTGTTATGACTGTTGTGTCTGTTTGTGAGGGCTAAGGATGAGCAGCTATTGGTATAACCTTCTTTTTGTAAAGCTACGAGACGGCACTGTCAGAATCTCTCACTGTTAGATGATCACCCTTCATGTTTATGGCGCTCCTTTCAGTTTAAATATCAAGGCTTGGTTTGTCTAAAAAAAAATATCTTCTTAATTATTAATTAATTACTTCTTATTGTATTAAGCCATTTTGAATTTTCTTTGTGCAGGTTTTCCTTCCATTAAAATCAGGAAAAGTTAACTGAATATCATTTGTGGCACTCAAAGGAACACAGAATAAATAATAATTGTACACCAACACTTTCAACTTGATTACTTGTCCCTATGAAAGCAGTCGGCAGCATGAACCACTGTCTGGAAATTAAATGGTTTCGTCCTTTTTTTGGGGAGCTTCCACTAAAGGTACATATTTGTATCATGTATTATATTACAACAGAGCCGGCCAGCTAACCAATCAGAGCAGACTGGGCTCTGGTTTCAGATAGAGGGTGAAAAGAGGTGCTGCAGCACAGGCAGTATGAGAACAATTTGCTGTTTTAACATTAGAGCATGGAGACATGTCCCAGTAGAGACACTACATACTGATATGAACCTCAAAATGGGGCCCCTTGAAGGTTTGTATTGCTGGGCAATCCCAATGTCACTCTCCAGATTTGACCAAGGCTTACAGCAGGCACAGTTGAAAACTCTGTAGACTTTGAGTTTATATAAAGCTACTAAAAATGTACTTTGATGCTAGAACGTCAAACGATCTATCTCCATGACTGTTAAACAAACACAATCCAATAAGGACATCCATGATATGCATGTCAATCCATCCACAATTTCAAGTCAAGACTGAACTTTGATGCTAAATATTTGGAGTCATTTTGTAAACTAAACCTTTAATTGTTAGGCAAACCCTCCAAATAGGAAGTCCTGGTTTCGCGCTGTTATGATGGAAAGCAGTACTGTACTTTCAGATACCATAGCAACAGACCACACAGGAGAATTTCAGAGCGCCATTTTTGTATCAGTCTGATCTGTGTTTTGTTATTACTCACAATTGTTGTCACGGGTGCAGCCCTGTTTTAATGGACTCTTTAATGCATAACAGCATTCATTAGAAAATATGACCAGACCATTAAAGGGTCCTAGAGACCATCAAACTGAAACATTCAGACATAATTTAAAATATCTACCTACCGTAGAGCATCTGATATCTTGAAAGCCTGTTCTTTTTTGGTAACTCTAAAGTGAGTTTAACATTGTTTAAAGGGTGCAATATCCCGTCAAATCTCCATTTACCCTTCCTCTAAACACCCAGTTACATCCTCATCAGCCAGAGGAACTTCCTCTCTCAGTGTGACTTCAGTCCAGAGTCTGACACTGTTTCACTTCCTCCCACGCCTGTTTCTGTCTCCATCTAGAAGATAGATGGTGCCTTCAGGTGTTCCCGAAACAACAACAGAAAGGCAGTGACAAGAGCTTAAAATGCAAACTGTAACCCAAACACTCCGGTGAGGCAAATGCTGTATGGTGCAATGTTAACATAAGTAAACAATGTGTTGTTTATCCGCCCCTGAATCTGTTCTTCTTTGGTCTACTCCCCTTTCACATCAATTCATTAAAATATGTTTACCTTACGGCTGAAAAAATAACCAAAAAACATTGCAAAAACACATAAATCTCATTATCAAAATCTGAAAACACTTTATTCTTCATGTCAGTGTTTTGAAAACCCATTTAGATTCTTCAGTTTTCCTGTTTACATACATTATATTTTAGCCCTTCTGTTTAATACAAACATGTATAGTGCAAGAGAAAAGCAATAATTAAACAAAATGGTGCGAGAGCTGTCAGTTAAATAGCTGTTTTCAGTGCAGGAGAGTTTGAAGATACAATATTGATCGATTATTTGAATGTAATGTATTTTAAAAAATCTAATAATAATAGTGTCAGAGTCTAAATCAGTATATTGCATGATATTTATCAATCTGACTTATTGATTTAAATGTTACACTTCAACAATAATCCTTTTAAAGAGGTAATTAAAAGGACAACAGATCCCAACCCATATTTGCATGTCTTATATTAACGGTTACTTTTTGTTTATCACAATCCGGTATATTGAAGTATCTGTGTACAACAGTGATCATAAAACTGAAAGTCAAATGAAAATTAACTGTAAAAATGTCAATAAAAATGATATGCTTTGGGAAACTGAACTGAAACAATGCTGATTAAAAAATACTAATTTTAGAAAATCATTTCATTTTCAAGGCTATAATGTATCAATACCAATAAAAGGAGACAGCATCAATACACGTCAGTCTCGTGATATTGAACCTCGGAAACTGAACAAACCAGCAGATGGCGCTATGCTACAATAGCCTTACAATCAATCTCTATTGTGAAAGTAAACTCAGCGGTACAAATATGTACTCAATGCTATTGGCCTCAAGAATCCCCATACAAATCCAGTTCTCATTTAGTGCACCTGCAGACTCCATAAGGCAAATAACAGCTTTCGAGACACATAATAGTGTCAAAAAAATGTACGATAAGGTAGCATGGTCTTTCTACCTCATTCACAAAACTTCACTCCTTATTTTTTCTTTTTCCTTAAAGATGTAAACTTACTCTTTAAACTGTTCCAGGCTTTCTTAGGTGATTTAGGACTTTTCTCTTCCTCCTTTTGCACCCTTTCTTTCAGGGCGTATCTTCTGGAGTCAGGGCGTCTTCTATCCATTGAAGCTCCACCAAAGCAACCAGCAGCTCCCAGCTCCTCGTCCTGGTACCTTGAAGGAGAGTAACCTGCCTCATCTGCGTAAGGATATGACGTGCCGACGCCCCCCCTATATCTGGCGTTCTTGTGACTGACCGGTGGCAGAGAGCTGCTCCTCCTATTCTCTATTGTGACCGACGTCCTCTCTGTATGTCGTGACTGCTCCCTCTGCCTCCGTAAGAGTATGTGCTTTAAATCGTGGCTCTCACGGGACGGTCCAATCAGGCGAAGTTTGACACCCATGGGACATACGAGCACTGAGTTGTAAATGTTTCTGTCTTTCTTGATCTTCTCTAAAAGCACCCTGCCTTCTTGATCCATGTCCTTCAGAAGGACTTCCTGTGTGCGCAGCGATTGGTTGAGATCATCCAGGAGGCTCTGTAGTTTACCGACCGCTGTTCTCGCGCTCTTCCCATGTAGAGTGATGCTGGCGCTATCGCCTACTTCTACCACCACCATTCTGACATTATGGCATTCCACGATGCCATCAATGTCTCTTTTCCTGAGCCGATCTGCGTACCTAAACACATCTTCATCGACGATAAATGACTCACTTCGAGGACTGAATGAGCCGCGCTGATCTGGTTCTGAAGAAGGAGACGCTTTGTATGGTGAGCTTGGATGTTTGTTTGGAGATGACGGAGGCGAGGAGGAGGAGGGTGAAGATGGAGAAGAGTGCGGAGGCTTGTCTCGGCTTCTGTTAGCATTGGACGCTGAGCTGTTTCGGGGGTAGTGTTTAGAAACGGCTCCAGAGGAAGCATAGGAGGCTTTTGGGACCGGAACGATGTCCGTCTTACTGTCTGATTCAACAATCTGCTCCAGAGAGGCCTTCACAGCTTTGAGTTTCAGAAACGACCCCTTCACACGCACCTGGTCTTGACTCAGATACGTCAAACTAAAGCCATATGACTGGAGTAGTTCTATCACCTCCGCCTCATTGGGGAAAAGGTTCAAATGTACTGTTGCCTCCACTGGTAAATCCATCTGAGAGAGGGTGGAAAAAAAGGCAATTTTGAATCTGAGCTGACACAACATGGATAATGTGTAATCAATGTTCGGTTACCTGAGGATGTTCAGAGGATTTGACTGTTAGATGATATTGTTGCCAATTCACCTCCAATACATGGGAGCATTTAGGCAGGACTGGAGCAGCAACTGTGAAAAATAATTTTTTGAATTATTATTATCGGTTTAAAGAATGACTGACCTCAACCAGCATTCTAATATGTATATATAGCTATTTTTTTATGTTGTGTATAATGTATTGAAAAACAAAAATGACCATAACACTACTACTATTAGCTTAAGAATACAGTATATATGTCAAGAGACTGACAGGTAGAACTAAATATTCCATAGGAATTATAATTATAGAATAAAAAAATGCACTGAACTGCTTCTGAAATACAGTAGCAAACCGTGCCCATCACAACTGGACTATCTGTAGACACACACATACATCCCCGGCAAAACTTTCAATCCAAACGTATCCTCTCATTCAGTGCAACAGCCAGGGCATTCTATCAAGGATGTGGAATACCTTGGTTGATGATATTCTACCCAGAGACCCAGAACAAGATCTGATTGGTTGCTTTTTCTTTCTAACACAAAACCACTCAGATGCGTAGCGCATGGACCGAGAAAGACAAGACAAACAAATCAACATAACACTGTAATATTACAGATCAACAACACAGATACGATTCTCATTTATTCATTTTATTTACATAATTAAATCGATTTTATCTGAGTGTTCCAGGGTATTCTCTGAATACCTTGAAGGCCCTGACGGATCACCACTACTGAAATATGACACTGGAAATAACTTAGGGCCACATGTAACATCATGTTCCACCATGAACTTATTATTGCAGCTCCTAAAGATGGCCAGCAGATGGCGATAAAGGCCACAAAGTGGTTAATAAGAATGAAAAGAAGAAATTATGGCTTTAGTTTAGGTTGAAAGGCAGAAAAGCATCAACCACAACATACAAGTAAAATCGTAATAAATTATACTCTAGTTGTCACTATTTCCTTATTGATATTGTTTTTTGTCCAACTGGAAAAAGAGAAATAAATTATTCCTCTGGATAATAGATATACATTTTATTCAACCCTGGATGTTTCTTTTTTGGTTATTTATGTTATTGTTTAAAGTATAATTTATATTATGATACTTTTCATAATTATTTTCAAAATGTATTCTGTAGAAAGCAGAAACATTAGTTGAGGATGTAGACTGCAATACTCAATCGTGCTTCCCCTTTTCTCCATCCTCACACTATGATAGCTAAAGTAAACGTTTTTTAGTCTTAATAATTTGTCTAACGTAAGGTTAAATATTAATATTTCATCAAGGCAACATGACATTTAAAGTCCGTTTCATGGAAAGTGAAAGTAATTCCGTTTCAGGTAAATTGGGTCCCTTGGGCTCCTGCAACTTTACGAAATTTGAGTTAATTCAGATTGAAAACAGAGCCAAGCCGCTACAGATAAAATGCACGAACTTTATCAAGTAATAACGTGTGTATATTGAACCGTAGTAACATCCCCCAAACTGTGTTTCACTTCACTCTGTAATATTTCCAGTACAGGCAAACATACAGCAAAGCAGGCTAAATAAATGGCTTAACACTAAAAGGGCTTTGATAGATATATCACTTACTTTAAAACTCACTCCTGTTATCTCCATGACATGACACCAGTGCGATGAAATCGAAAGCAATGTCGTCACTTCCGGTCCAGATTTACAGTTCATGATTTTGACAGTAAAATACATTTCCTTCTCGACTTTTTATTTCTAGGCAGGTTAAGTAAATACAAGTTTATGGATATTTCTATTGTAAAGTAAATACAATAGTTACTGTCAAAGTATCTGTCCAACTGTCTCAATCTGAAAATATCAGTAACTATTATTAAGCAAAGAACTTTAAAGCAGGGTATATGCAGGAATCCTGAGGTCAAATTTAATACCTTTTAAGACCTTTTTTAAGACCCTTTCCATACATTTTAAGACCTCATCGCAACTTTGAGTTCTAACCGGTTACATTGGCAACACACTTTACCTCACATTTACTATATTGATTGTAAGATAGCAAAACTAAACAGAGTGCAGACAGACTACTGAAGCCTCCTTTCCACATGAACTTCAACCTCTGTGAAGGTCAGGTTTAATGCAGTATGCTGCTTTTTTGCTTCTGTAGACTCTGTGCTCTTTCATTCCAGTAAAACTCCTCAGAAACCATTAGAAACCAGTATTTGACCAATAAACAAAACAATTGACAAAACTTTGAACTATGAAATATATTAAACTTTGGTGAGCTTCAGCGGGGTAATGCCATATAGGAGCTCCCTCACAAATACCCAGGGGTTAAATTGGGCTGGGGCTGTCCGGGGCTAAGCCCTGGCACATAGGACGATGCTCTGACGTCATCACCCTCACACATTTGTCATATGTTTACAAAAAACGATATATATGTTAAGACTTTTCTCGTTCTTAATATAGACTATATTTAGGGTCTATATGTGTTGACTTTACTTTAAAATAGCAGATCTCTGTGACCGGATATAGTTTGGCTTAGACCCCGGCCCCACGAGGACACATACGGTAAAACGCATACGCAAACGCAAAAAAGTCTTCCGTTCACACGCATTTGATTCATTAATGTGTCCGTTCACACTAGACCGCCGGAAATGCTGAAAACGCTGTAGTACATATGCCAGGCCTGTAAGTGGCGCTGCTGCCGCCAAAAAAATACACCAAAAGCAGCGAAGAAGACCCCGGAGCATGGTTGCCATGGTTGCCCTTCTGTCTATTCTCCGCGGTGGACGACGTGTTCTCCTGCTGTATATCTCTCAGGTAGTCCACCAGCAGATGAAAAACACCCACCTCTCNAAAGATAGGGACTGGGCTACGGTCATGTGTTGGCTTTACTTTGAAAACACTGACCTTAGTGTTCAGCTCATGCTGGAGCAGCAGAGGTCAGTCAGAAGGTCTGAGCAGGGCAGAGCCTGGCTTCATCTCTAGTTCTGTAAAAGAAAGTCATATTAAGTACTGTGTTTTTTTATACAACATTTCCCTATAAGGTTACATCAAGCTTTATGTGCACTTAGTCTTTGCCTACGTGAGCAAGTTCAAGCAGAACATGATAATCAAATGGTTCATTGGTCCCACCATGGGGAAACGTGCAGCCTAACAGAGGCAAAGGGACAGTGCAGATGAAGGCAAACATAAGTAAGTAACCTATTAAATGAATAGGCAAGCAGACATGCAATAGAAATTATGACTAAAAACAAGAGGCAGCATGTATTTATCTGCACGTCACAATAAGGAATTTCTCTTCAGTGTTTTATTTATGTTTGCCTTGCTAATTAACAAGTTGTAAATATAACCGATGAGCAGTGAGTATTTTGCCTGCATCATCATCCCTTCATGGCACATGGTCCACTATTGGTTCAAGGTGTTCCCTTTACGATGTGCATTCATAAGAGAACATTACACAGATTTAGGCTAGGTTTAAACTAATAGTAACAATAACTCACTTTTAAGAACAAATCCCTCTGCAGTTTGTTGGAGGTTTACCTATAACCCTGCTGTAAGGAGTCACAGCAGGGCCTCAAACGGCCTCTCATCTCTCTAGCAGACACTATAGGAAAGATCAGAGCCACTGCAGGCTGAGCCTCGCTGGAAGGTCTGCCATTTTCATGTGTTGTCTTTACATGACAAAAACTGACCTTAGTGTTCAGCTCAAAGTCATGCTGGAGCAGTAGAGGTCAGTCAGGAGGTCTGAGCAGGGCAGAGCCTGGCTTCATCTCAGCAACACTGTAAAAGAAAAAGGAATATTTTAAGTACTGTTTTTTTAAATATTTCATTTACATAAAAACGGTGACATCAAGCTTTATGTGCCATTAAGGCCTTTGTAGGCCAATTTTAAGAAGGACAAGACCATTAGTAATCTGGTATTGGTCCTACTACAGGAACATTAACAGGCCTACAACAGCAAGGGACAGTGCTGACGAAAGGCAAACATTAAATAAAGAGACAAGCAAATGTCTAGTAAAATATGTAAAAAATAAGTAGCAGCATCTACACTTACTAGAAATGTGTGTGACCGTGTAAATCAAGCGTCTTGGTTTTCTGCATGAATGTCTTTTGCATATTGTGGTGGCATTTATGTGTTTGCCTTGCACCATCATCTCTTCATAGCACATGGTCTCCTATAGCTTCAAGGTATTTCCCGTTACTATCCAATATAATTCCGACATACATTTCACTTAATCAGTGCTTTTACTTTAATTTTGTTCATTTAGAAGAAAATACTTTTTAACTTTTACTTAGAACAGAATTTTGAGGTTAAATATTGCTACTTTCAAGTATACAACCAGAATACCTCTTGCCCCAGTGGGAATCAGGAAACAGAATAAGGCTAGGTTTAATCTTATAGTAATAATATCTACTTTAACGAAAAGTGGCAGTGTAGTTTGTTTGAGGTTTACCTATAACCCTGCTGTAAGGAGTCACAGCAGGGCCTCAAACGGCCTCTCATCTATCTAGCAGACACTATAGGAAAGATCAGAGCCACTGCAGGCTGAGCCTCGCTGGAAGGTCTGCAGTGTTCACAAGGCAATACAGAAGTCTCTTTAAAATGCTTGTCGTTTCCGGTCTGAACACCGCACTTCAATGCGTTCACATGGGCTGGTAGATAAATGACTGCCTCTTAAGTGTAAAACAAAAGTAAACTATGTTTTACCTTAGCATATTTAAGTTGGACAGTCACCCACGCCTTCAGTCTGTGAACACAGAAAATTAAAAACATGAAAAACGTGTGGTAAAAAGTAACAAGAATGTGATGCAGTTAGCAAAAGGACATCGCACGCGCTTAACTGATTTAAACAGTTTAAAAACAACATTCCTCAACAAAACCGCCTTTCTATTAAAGTTTAAAGATTCAAATTAAATTTCAAGAAGTCAGAAACGTTACATACTTTGTAATTTAAGTTAGATGGAAGCAGATAGAATAAGCGTACCTTACTCGACCCAGGCATGCCGTGAAGTAGACTGAAACATACAGTGCCGGATGTGACGTCCTTAAGTTTTGGCACGGGGTTTCCTTCTCCTTCTCCATGGATGTATAATAAACTCCATACAAGGTGTATCCCAGCCAGCAGGGAGCAGTATAGTACCAAATATTGCGGTAGGGTGTTAAACATCCATGGTTTAAACCTGAAATAGTCTACATTTCTTTGATTTCAGTAGGGAAATGTTGTCTTTTTAAGATTTAGATCCATCATTTTTTCTGCCAAGAGTGTGAAGCAATTGTTGTCGGAACTCCGCCTATAAATAGGCGACAATAAACTGAAGCCAGAATACCTTTAAAGATAACGTTGTCTCCATTGAAACCCACAAAAAACCCAATTGATTCCACGGCCATTAAAGCATGAAATCATGCATTTTATTATGACAGGCTTTCATTCTAGAGCCCTTTCTTCAAATTAAACTCTTTTTTTTATTTTCACTAAATTAAGCAATTTTCTTAACTTAAAAAACATGTTAAAGCCTAAAGCAGAATTAAGCTTTGATGAGGAAGAGGAGAAAATAAAGGGCATACGAAACAGACCAATCAAAATAACAAAACTAGAAGATAACATGTGAAGTAATAAAATAAAAAACTAAGAAATCATGTGGGTTTATGATAAAATATATGTGACAATCCAACGAGTTTCATGCAATTTGGGGATCTTTATTTAACAAAAAAGGGCTACAAATGTAAGGTATTTTACAGTGTATTAATAAATGATGTTGATTTAAATGCAAACAATTCCAAAACAGTTTGACTCACTTCCTCTTGCTGATCATTTCACAATATTTATCAATAGAAAACAAATGTGCACCTTTAGTTCAAAATAAGATGGAGAATGGAAGTTTCCTATGTTATGAGTATGATGCCATAGCTTAAACATTTACCCATGACGACTGAAAACATTACAACCATTTTTTATGGAATCATCACATCATAGAAGAATGAAACTCTTGACATTGTGTCTAAAAAAGTGATTTGAATAGGCTTTAGAACACCTCAAGACCCAATCTCTGTGAAGAGGGCTTGGCCCAGTGCTCAGGCTGGGGGGGGGAGTGGGGGGTGGGTGGGGGCAAGCTCAGGAGGATGCTTGTGGTCAGTGACTCAGACTGCATTACCCTACAACAATAAACCTCATAGAGGAGCAGGGTGTTCTGTGCCTGATCCATCAGCAGACGCCCGGATGAATTTCAGCTTTGTTAGCCCGCATTGATGCTGACCACTCGCCCAGCTGACTGGCTCTACATACTGATAAAGAAAACTCACAATCTGAATCTGTGTTTGGACACAAACATGATCTGTTTCTGCCACTCCTCTTGTTTCTGCATGACTGAGACTCTGAGCTTTTAAAGAAAGTTTGTGTATTTCATATAAACAAAAAGTGGTGCCTTCAAAGAGTTGAGCTTTGTTGAAGTTAGAAATAAGAAAAGATCACATTGTCTTATACGCACTGCCTCCGACCGCTCCACCAAACAATATTATATTTATCACAGTTTGATCTCTATGAATAATCCTATTTCCACCATGTCTCTTGGATTAATTATAGCAGAGTCTCTGCCTGAGAAACAACAGATCAGGCCAAGCTTGAAATAATTTACCGGACTTGTTAGATCCAGATCAGATAATCACATGTCAGCCTCTGGGTATGATCTTACAATAGCTCACTGACCAAAATGCTTATCCAAAGATGTATTTACACTCATCTCAGTTGTTATAATAAGGCAGAGCGGTAGCTACTACGCAGGCCGGTTAGGTCATGTTCTCTGACTTATGAGGAGAATGTGATGGGTCTTAGAGATCAAGACAAGGGGTTGGGGTTGCAATTATGATGCCTTTAAAGAATGTGTTTCATTAAAATCAGTACTTCGATTGAAACATTTTGAGACCAACAATATTAAAGCTGCACTAATCAATAGGGTTGTATGAATCGATTCAATGATCAACAATCCCATGTATGGATGGAAAGTATAAAAAAACTATGCAAATCATCATTTTCAATCTACGCCCTTATTTTTGAAGAAAGCCCTTATGTTAAGAGATCTATTTTTATAGATTGTTATTTATTTAAATGTATTGAAGAACCCAGTAATAAAATAGTCATACGTACAGTATATACATTTCTTTTTGTGAGTATATGTAACGGATTGTGTAAAATAGGCTTATGATATTGTGTTATATCGCAGGCCAATACATTTATTTAATTCAAAATGGTATTACAGACTTTGTAATACAAGCAAATATTGTTTCTGATATGAAATGATATCATGATTAACACCATTACTAATCAATAGGTCTATATTTTTCGTTATCATGTGGCTATCGACGGTGTGTTAGACTTGGAATGAAGCTAGTAACGACAACAGAGAGGTTAAACTGCTGAATCAATCTTGTGTGAGACGTCAGAGGATGACACACGTCGCTCCACATCAACAAACCTGATCCGTAATCTGCCTGCAGGCATGCAGCCAGCAGACACACCGCTGCGTCTAATGTCGTCACCGCTCTCTGATTTATCAAGTTGATGCTCTGAGAGTCACCTGCAGCTGAGAGTCAACACAACAAATCCATCCTGAGAGCCTTCTCAACGTCAGTCATTGATCTTTAATCCATCTGTTAAGTGGGTTTATGTCCTCCATGTGTTGAACTGCTGCACAATGAACATGCAGTGTGGAACAAAAGGTCTCTGGAATCAGGAATCCTGTCTTTTTGACCCACAGCGGGGAAATGCTCAATGTTACACCAAAGGGGACAGAGCAGATACAAGGCAAAACAACATATGAGGACTAACTTTTAAAATAACGTGGCAACTTTATGTTAAAGGGACATATTATGCACATTGTCAGGTTCATGTATGTAGTGTCTCTGCTGTGACATGTCTCCATGCTCTAATATTCAAAAGCTCTTTATTCTTCTCATACTGCCTGTGCTGCAGCACCTCTTTTCACCCTCTGTCTGAAACCAGAGCCCATGTCTGCTCTGATTGGTTAGCTGGTTAGCTCTGTTGTGATTGGTCAACCACTAAGAGATGTCCTGCCCCTTAGCCTATCATGTACAATGTGTTGTGGTAGCAATTAGAAGGGGGAGTGTTACATATTCAGATCACTTACATCCACACACAGCTATACAACACACTACAGGAAAGGATCAACCCAAAGCATAATAGGGCTTCCTAAACATTCATTTAAGTAAGTACACATGAGGGGAACAAAATAGTATCAGGATGATAAGGTCAATTAACATATAAAAGTTGAGGAAATAGCAGTCAGTAATAATAATAATAATAATAGATTACATTTGTATAGTGCCTTTCAAGGGACCCAAGGCCGCTTTACATGGTGAACAAACAAACAAACAAACAAAAGGGGCAAATAATAAAGTCAAAAATTAATAGCAGTAATACTGTAACACTGTACGGTTTTATTTCAGAACAGTGGTGTTACAGTCTTAAGTAGTGAAATCATGGTTTACTTTAAAACAGGAAAAGTGAGCGTTGTGATGTTTTTGACCAATTATTGCAGATATATTAAAAGTACATCAAAAGAAACAGACAAAAGCATGAATCAATTCATGAGGCGGATATGTTCCGGTATCTGTTGAGAAAAGCTATACTGTTCCCATAACCAATCAAAAACACATTGTAACATTGTCTACTGATGTAATAAAGTGTAAGCTCTGTTGTGACTGTAACGCTCAGTGACAGGGCCCCTTCTGTCTCAGAGTGCTGAGGAGCCACGGTTCAGTCTGGCAGAAACACAGAGCAGCTCCACAAGGCCTCTTTATGGAAGCACGCTGCCGTCTGAGAGGCTTTCAGTTTGCAGTTTGAGGATAATTGAGGTTTGATTCATACTTGAGGGGTTTAATGAGCACATAATCCCTTCCACCTGATCCCTGCTCACCCAAATGAGGAGAAATACTTCATTCCCGTGAGGTGGAGGAAAAGGAAGGGAATGTCCTTATGGTCCTCTTATCATTTTCAGTTCTGTCCATTGTTCATGAGTGTAACTGAAGTACTTCCAATGTATGCTACTTTATACTTCGACTAATAAACTGTGAAAAGTGATTATTATTGTGGTTCAAGCTCCAGCAGTACTGTGTATAAAATATTCAAAAATAAGCATAACTTTTTCTTCAACATCAATTAACACATGAATGCCTCTCTAAATATAATAAAGAAGTATATCAAATGGAGCTTTGTGCACTGTGAGCATGAAAACGTTCAGTTTGTTTTGATTCTATTACATTTGTACTTATAATTAAGTAAAGTTTCATTGCCGGAATGGTCTTTTAAACTGTGTTCCTGCATTTGATTTGAAGTCAAAACATCTAGACACACTTCTTCCAACACAAGTGCAGTCGGGGAGAGTGGGGTAAGATGAGCCAAGTTGACCCTTTATCTCTAGAGGACTGTGCACATTTGTCGTCATGTGATTATAAATCCAGGAAGCACCCATCATTGTTTGTTGGCTGTGATGGAGAGAAGCAAATGGTAACGTTTCAAATGTGTTTTTTTCATAATAAGCCATGTTTGGCTTTTCAAAGTACATGTTCAACATGTCAGGTATAATTACTGTTATGTCATCATAGGAAATGTATACTTGTCTAAAAATATGTATCAAACATGTCGGTTATTTTGCAATGTATAGAACCTTGTGAATCATGTAGCTAAAGATTAGCATATGACGTGAAAAAAAGTCATATATTCATGGCCCTTTCTTATAGATGCATTATTTACATTTTGATTGACAGAAGACATCCTGAAGTTAATGTTGTTGTCATTTGACTTCTATCTCATTTGTCCTTGCCTAGAGGACCACATAAGTAAACATTGTTTCATCGTACCCCACTCTCCCCCACTGCACTTACTGTTGGTACAATTCACTTCAAAATGTCCATGTTTCGATACTTTCTACTTCACCACATCTCAGAGGCAGCATTAAACCCTTTTACTCCACTACATCTATCTGACTCCTACTGTAAAGTTTCTAGTTACTTATTATATAAAAAACTGATATAT